TAACCATCACCAAACTGGTACCTGGCGCGCCCATAGGACTCGACGGCCGAGTCGTGGACACCCCGGAAGTAGCCCTGGCAAAGGCGGAACACGCGGCAGCCCACATCAACGAAAGAATCAATCTCGCGCAAGAGTCGCTCAAATCGGCTGATGCGATCGCCATCACAGGTCCCCTTGTCGCCAGCAGCGTGGAACCCATCGCAGTTGCGGCCAAAATCGTGCCTGCGGCCCCTCTGGGCCCCGACGGCCGTGTCGTGGACACACCTGAAGTGGCTCTGGCCAAGGCGGAGCACGCTGCCGCTCACATAAATCAGAAGATCGAGCAAGCTGTCGAGCAAAGACAATCCTCCTCTCTGGAGATTCCTCTTGTCCTGTCCACGTATTCAGGACCCGTGATTCAGAAGGTTTTACTTAACGGGCTTTAAACGAAAAGGTTTTAAACGAAAGTTTTATTATCGCCAGGATGATAACTGCTGTTCGACGACTGTTTGTTACATGAAATACTCGTTTTTTTGTACATAATTGTGGGCCGATTGAATAAAACGTTTTTGAACTACTATTAATTGAAACTTGATTCGATTATTTTTGCAGATATCTTTATTTCTATTTTTACTTTTTTCCTTGCCTTTTTTTTTTCATGGCAGCTTAGATTGGTTTATCATGAAATTAATAGAAAGAATGGTTAATTTTATTAATTATTTTATATGTATTAAATTTATAACTTTTTAAATTTTTTTTACCCTATTTTCTATTTCTGTCTCGTGTCTTGTTGTAAGAATGATACTTTTCTTAATTTTTAGAAAATATGATAGCAGTTGGAATTAAGAACACAAAAATAGAAGAGTAAAAGGTAGAGTAGGTGGTGGGGATGTTCATTGATAAAATTAAGAGCGCTTTCGATACCCTTAGTCAGTTCACTGCTAACTTGCATGGAGGTAGGGCGCTTGCTAAGATTTCGAGTGAACGATCGAAATATTTTTAGACTATTCATTCGAAATTTTTTAGATAATTTGAATTTTTTTTTAATAATTAAATTTGATAAAACAAATATTATACAACTAATCGAGAATAGAATATCAATAATGATAAAACTATTAGAATAATAATCTAAGTATATTATAAAGTTAATGTAGAAGATTTCTTTACTATTATATTTTATATTTTTTAATCCTACTTTTGTGAAGTTTCATCTCATACATTCGTCTTTTCGATCGATAGAAATCTTGTAAGTATTTTAAACTTCGTGATGTAAGAATTTGAATTGAAAATTTTTAAAGAACCACTATAAAGAAAGGGAAAACAAAAAAATTGTAGAAAAAAACAGAATTAGAAATTATTTTCATTATTATTTCATTTGACATTTTACATTTTACATCGTAGATTTTTCGCTTCTATCAATCTTTTAAATAATAAATAATACTATAGCATATTAAAATTTCCAGACTTAAATCTTTGCTATCACTTTCTTCACGATCCGTGAGATACAGCGTTCTCTCAGTGGTGCGAAACAAACTGTTTCTGTAGCTTCGATAGCTGGTTTCCTAAACTGGAACGCAAAAATAATGCTCAAAATTGTCACACAATTGTCAGAGCGCTCTTCTTAAAAACGAAAGAACGCTTTTTCGGATCAAGCGGATCACAAACGAAATGATTCTGAAACTTTCGAAGTTGGCTGGAAAAAAATTATCTGTCTATTTTTTCTGTCTATCTTATCTGTCCATTTTATCTATTTATCTGTCTCTGTTTCGCACGAAAATTGATTGGAAAATAGTTATCTGTTTATCTTATCTGACTATCTTATTTGTTTATCTTATCTGTTTCGCACAAAACTTTCGAAGTTGGTTGGAAAAAAATTATCTGTCTATCTTATCTGATTATCTTATCTATTTATCTTATCTATTTATCTGACTATCTTATCTGTTTATCTTATCTATTTATCTTATCTATTTATCTGTCTCTCTGTTTCGCACAAAACTTTCAAAGTTTGTTGGAAAATAGTTATCTAACTATCTTATCTTTTATTTTATAAAAATTACCAATAATGTCTCATAAGTTCGATCAATTTATTAAAGGATAAGAAAAATTGCAGAGTTGCATATAACATTTTCAATCCATTTTGTATCTTTCGTTTGGGAACCGCTGCTTCAAGCCATTCTTTCTTCAGGATATCGAAGAATATGAGACAGTCAAGGTCGCTGTTCGAGCCTTTTCCTGCGCCCACGAAGAGTATTATACGTGTACTTACACGATTTCATGACGTAGAAATAAATTTGAACACTATTTCTCAACGACTATAACGTCGACTATAACGTGCAAGCGTTATAATATTTACTTTCCTGTTTCGATTCGTTCAAAAATCTTTTTATGTACGAAATAAAGGAAAAATTGATTGATCAATTGAATAAATTTAATACGTCATATTACACAATTATTCTACTTTACACGTACTATTACTATTGCCATTATATCATATTACATTACTCGATGTAAAAATTATTTTTTATTTTCATTATGAAAGCGATCAATATTTCTGGAGATAAATATATAATGAATTTTCAGTAACAATGAACCTCGCAAGAAGTTCAGTGTCCTTCGAACACAGCTCGATTCAAAGTCACGAAATTCAAATATTCACGGTCAACGAGTTTGTTCATCGATAATGGGGCGTGTCTCTGAAAAGAGATTATTAAATCTTGTCTCGATCGGAAAAAAAAACACGGATTATGGATTCGTAATATTTTTTTCTAGCATTTTATAAATACTTTCGTCAGTTGAAAAAATTCAATCAGAAAAAAATCAAAGATTAAAAGATCTAAAGATTAAGAATTGTCGAAATTTTAAGAGATCGTAACACAATTTTTCAATTATTATAACATATTCGTTAATTAATTTCAATTTTATTTTAGTTTTTTTTTTTAGTAAAATTTATTTTTAAACAAAATATAATCTTGAGAATAGTTGAGAGGAAAGGTGACTGGTTCACTTTTTTTAGAAGCATAATGTATTCTTAACGACGTCTAATTAAGCACAAATGTGTCACAGGCACAGAACTAAATTAAATAGATGATCTTAATGAGATCTAGATTAATCAAATCGTAAAATAATTTAATTTTAATAATTGTTTATATCATGGAAGAAATTTACACTTACAATACTCTATAAAATTCAGAATAAAAAATTATTATATTATATATACACATTCTTTTATTCAAAAAATTTTATTCCTTTGTCTTGTTAAAATTTTATTATTTTAATTAAAAAGTTTCTTTTCATAATCTTTGACTAATCTTGGTTAAATAAAAAAAAAATTCCATAAACAAAAATTTCGATTTAAAAAATATAATCATAATTACAAAAAATATATTAATTAAGAACTTATTATTACCATTTGGAAATTAGATTAAGAATATTTATGAACCTTTTTTATAAACTTGATTAATATAAATTATCTTAATCATGATCTTCGATCTTTCTCTTTCTTTTCTTTTTCTTTTTTTTTTCTCCTTAACCTTCTATCCTTTTCAGAATTTCTCTTGATGCCATCTAATCTTCGGTACACACACTTTGTAACGAAACGTTTTTCTAACGATGATCATATCGCAGTGATTGAAAAACCTTAAAACCGATATTGGCGCAATATCAAAGGGTTTCCTTCGATCTAATTGAAAAAAAAAGGAACATGGCCAGCTTTCTAATATTATTCGTATGCAGTTACAAAATCGTTTTTACCATTGTTATTTCACCAATTGAAAATTGTCTTGGACGATTGTGACACATAAATATTTCCCAATTACACATGCAATAGGGTGACAAAACAGTCTTTGCAGTTCTTTATTTATATCCGTTACTTATTTTATTCATTTCTTTTAATATTTGATCATTTTAATATTCAAGTATTTATTTGGCTATTATTTTATAACTTAATAATATTTTTTTTTAATTCATTAGAATATTTAAAAGTTATACAAATTTTATTACAAAATTTATTTATAATAAACGAATTTTGATTCATAATTATTAGAGTTAATAAATTTGTAATTGAAAGTTGTTAAATAAATTACGACTTTTTTTATTTTATTTTAACTTATTAATCGATATCACGAAAGATTAATACATTTCTTAATATCTCGCGTATATGCGATTTATTTCCTTTTTTTATATATTATACAATTGACGAATTTTAAATTATCGATCGATGATTTATTTCGTATACTTTAATATTTTCCAAAAAACTATTAATATAATGATAAATGTGATCAAATTCGAAACTTAATTGTCATATTAAAAAATTTATGATTGCATGGATTCCTTTCTATCAAGCTGTTATTTATTTCTATCAAATTTTAGATATTGTGCAAAATCATAATTTTTTCACATTCTTTAAAATGCAATATAAAATTAAAAAAAAAAACTCAAACGCATCGAAGATGAGTATAAAAATTAAAAGTGTTAATTAAAAATTCAAAATTAACAATTTAAAGTTTTAAATGAATTCGTTAATTTGAGCAATATTCGAGCAATAAATCATTTCATCTTTATTAACACTTAATAATAAATTAGCATTCTCGCTAACTCGTATTAATGAATTACAACACCTCTTTAATACAGAACAAGATCTTTTTCATACGAACCAATTTATTTGATCGAGCGATCCGTATAGCACAACTTTGCACGATGGAAAAATATCGAAGGAATGCATTCTTGCTGCAGACTGTCCTTCGTTCTCGAGTCCTTCGTTCGTTCAGGGTTGGTAAGTCGTTTAACACTTGCATGAACGGCTTTGTTTAAAGGACAGCAAAGTACTGGCGAAAGGAGAAATAAAATAAAAGGGAGTAGTAGATGTTGAAAATTTTTACTTTTATATTAAATAAATCGTGGCACGATGGAACAAATACGATAAGAAAGGTTATTTTATTCTCGCGAATAAAAATAATAATTTTGCAAATTTTAATAATAAATTTAAAGAAAAAAAAATGTATAGAATTTTATTTAACGCGTAAGAAATACAATTGCAAATTTTATTCAAATTTTAAAATAAAGATATTGCAATTATAAGTTATACAATATCCATTAATGATATCGATAATTATACAAATACAAGTATTAGATAAATTTTATCACTATATAAATTTTTATACTATTCAAAAGAATAATAGAAAAGAAAAATGTAGAAATTTAATTATAACATTGAACGTCTTCTCATCGCGATCAAGATTATTTCCCATATGCAATTATGGGGAAAAGTGTCTCTCGGATGTAATTTCCTTCGTCACGAATGTAATCCATTTCTCACGTGACGATCTCACGTGATCTTTCTCACTGCATTTTGCTCACAAATTGAATAACACTGGATGGATATTCGCTTAAATATATTTTCTCAATTTAAAATCGCACAACTTCTCAAAACTATTCTACGAAAACTTTTGAAAACTCCGCCCCAACTTTTGCAACTTTGACAGTTACGACGATCAACCGCCATTTCTCGCCAATTATACTTCCATCTTCCTTCCTCCAAGCATCCTCCTTTCATCCATTCAACCCCACTTTATCTTCAAACTCACTTTAATCCCATACTCTTCCACGCCCATAAATAATTTCGCATCCGCGCAATTCTACTTTATTCTCCACCTACAAAACCTAATTCTTTTAAGTCCAAGATTCACTAACACGCAATTCACTAATCGATTGCACAATACCATTCAATTTCCTTTTCCAAACAAATCGACAACACTTTTTACCATATTCCCTCATAGTCCTTTCAATACCAATATGCGCTCCCAATGACCCAGACCTAAGCCAACCCTTCCTCCCAATCGTAACCGATCGCACCCCCTCCAGTCCCATCCTTCCGGTCCAGGAGTGCATGGACCCCGTTGAAATGCCAAGGTCCTGGCGCGAAGCAGCCGCCTGAATAGGAGGGGAGGGGAGGGGGAGTATCCTTTTTCCTGGCGCGCTTCCCAGGCTACGTGGGCTAACCGATCACCCGGCTCCTTCCAGGCCGTGGTCCACGTGGGAGGGGGCGGATGATCACCGCTATAAATGCTACCAACGGCCGTTCTCCAGGAACACAAAACGTGAGGCCGGGCCGGGTAAGCGGGGAGCTGGAGCGGAAACGAGCGAGTACTGGCCACCAGCCGCGCTTTTCGCATAGGGGAAAAACACGCTCCGGATTGAGGGAAAAAAAAAAAAAAAAAAGAAAAAGGAAAGAAGGAAAGTGATCGAGAGAAAGGAGCCATGAGGGGATTGGTGAGTTTTCTTCCTTCTTCGATTCTGTGTGGACAGATCGACGAATGGCGGGCAAAGTGAAAGGTATTATTATTATAGGGTAGGATAGGTGGCCAACCACGTCAAAAGAGACAACGAGTTTGAGGATTCTGACAGATTTTGTTCAAAAATTGTCGAACAGTTCTTCTGTTTCTCTATATAAATATAAAATTCGAATGACGATTTGATTTATTCGATCGAGAGAAATAATTTAACATAATTTAAAATGGGGATAATATAAAATTTTTTTGAAATTTGAAAAGACACCAGAATTTTTATAATTATTATAATTAATACTTTGTCGATAATATTCCAACACTCTCGATTTTATTTTTCAGATCGTTTTCATCGCAACGGTGGCCAGCTGCAGAGCCGGTTTCCTCGGCTCGCCCTCGTTCGGCGAGCCCCAGGTGCACCCCCAACCGGCGCCCCAGAGGTTCGCACCCCCGGCACCGGTTGGCCAAGACGGAAACGTGATCGATACCCCGGAAGTCGCCCAAGCGAAGGCTGCCCACTTCGCGGAATTCGCTAGGGCCGCGGCCAGAGCCGCCGAGGAGAGCAAGAATCAGCCCCAATCGGTCGAGTACAACCCCCAGTCCCAAGCCTACAACTTCCCCTCTTCCCAACCCTCCACCTACGTCAGACAGCAAGCCTATCAGCCGCCCGCGCCGATCTACCAATCTGCTCCAGGTAAATTTTCCCACAGTTCACTTCTCTTCTTTCATTTCTTCTTAATTCTTGATCCCCTTCAGAATAATAATTTTTAAGAACAAGTGTTATTTTCGATAGAATTAAAATTAATTCGTCGATAAAAAAAAAACAATTCCAGCACCAGCGCCAATGTACAATCAACCGAATACGGTATCAGCCGGTTATCAGCCGCAGTATACGGGAAATACGAACTTTGTCGGGCAGCAAAGTTTCGCTGCCAACGTGAAATCCACCCCTTTCGTGCCTGCGCCCCTCGCGGAGGATGGGACTGTAATCGATACGCCGGAAGTGGCAGCTCTTAAGGCCGCCAGGTTGGCGGAATTGGCCGAGGCCGAGGCGAGGGCGTATAAGTTTGCACAGGAATACAAACCGGAAGTCCAAGGCCAAGGTACGTTTGCAAAAGGTGATCGAGAGTAATGATTACGTAAGAAACTTATTTCGATTTTTAGTTTCGTCGAATGTTTTAATATTTCTTTCTGTTTCTATTGCAGGATAATAATTTTTTGAAATTTCTTTTCTTTTTTTTTTCTTTTTTAATTTCTTTATCAGTTATGAAATTAGTATCGTGATATTTGTCTTCGTGGAGTTGAAAAATATTATTTTTGTCCTAACGTAATATTTACATTACGTATGGAAATTCTACGTAGAGGAATTCGTAGAAAAGACAGACCTAGAGAATTATTGAACTCTTGCCAACTATAAATATATCGGTAACACCCTGCGCTAACGTAAGAATTGAATAGTTGCTCAACAACTTAATCGTTCGATTGTTCCTGCGAGAATAGCATGGTATGGCCACTAGTCGTTAGGTATATAATCGTGACCCGGCCATTTCTCTTCTGGAATATCAAGCAACATCGTAGCAACGACATCGTAGGTCACGTAGAGTTTCACTCTAATTGTACAAATAATTTTGAAGATTAGTATAAATGCATAAAATGTAAATCAATCAAATATCTTTTTTCCATTTAAAAAACCAAAAAAAATTCGATAAGAAAAATTTAAACTAATTAATAAGAATTTCTTTATTTTTTATAATTTCTACAATTATTTGTGGAATTTTTATGCACGAATTTCTAACGAATTCTTAATCATAAGAAATAAATGGATAAATAAAGTTCTTTTAATTTTAGATTAGGGATTGATAATTAAATTGTTTCTCGTTTTATTTCAGCTTATGCTAGTCCACCAGCCGCCCCAGTCCAATACAATTCTCCCGCGACTAGAGTATTTCCTGGCGCAGCGCCCTCGTATCCCGCGGCGCAACCAGCGTTTGGCAAACCTGCTTTCCAACCTCAAAATTATCAATCGCAGCAATTAGTCGGAGCTTATTAAATTGAGACGATTCGTGACGTATTTGTACATAATTTAGGTCAATAAATTGTTCCCCCTCCTCTTTTTTAAATTTCTCATTTCTTATTCCTTCTACTCCTTCTGCTCGTTCGTTTGTGTTTCTTTCTTTGATATATTTAATTTTTAGTGTGATACTAGGGATAATTGTCAAAAAATTTTTTTTGTATTCTTTCTTTTAGAGAAACAAAAATTTTAAAAGGATCAAGAATTTTAGAAATATTTTTCGACAATTTTATTTATTTTAGTATTATTTTAACAAATATTAGAGAGTTGTAAATTTTACAATTTGATGCTATAGTTTGATAGAATAAGTAATGATAAGGAATATATTTTTACATAATTTTTCTAAATAAATTTTGAATTTTTTCCATCAAATCAATTTATTTTCTTTTTCTTTGCGTTAAAAATTATAATTTTAAAAATTCCTTGATATTCATTTATCATTATTTTCCTCTATTATTTTAGTATTTGATATAAAAAATATATTTTTATATCATACGTTCCCACAATTTATAACTTGTATTATTTTCACACAATATGTATAATATATTAATATTCAGAATTATTAACTTTATACTCCATACTACATTAATACTTTAAGTATCTTATTTAAAGTTTAAAGTTATATATTATACGAAATTCATCGATAAACTTTCATTATACTTAATATATACTAATATATATACTATGTTATTAAACTTATGTATTAAGTTCAAGAAATCGACACTTATATTCCAGATATCCGATGAATTTTTATTATGTAGGTTAACGCGCAATTCTCGCCCGAGAAGCCACCAAAAATCAATGCGTCAAACAAATTGCCAAGCAATATTATTCGTCAGAAACCACGAGTTAACCTATATTTGATTTGGTTGTGCGGTTAGCGTAATCCAAGAAAGATTGGAAAGATGTCTTCACCTCGATCGGGTTAGATGAACACCTTCTTCAGGGTCGTTTAACATTGAATATCGGAAAATGGAAAAAAATTTTTTTATTATAAATTGATATCGATAAGAAGAACGATATTATGACACAAATAAACGTCGAAACTCAAAAAAATTCAAAAGAAAAATAAATAAATATGTATCACGAAGTGCTGAGAATTGCTCGATGAGAAAAAAAATTTCAGGGTTTCCCTCGTAGAATTATCGTAACGATTGTCTCGTGCGATTGCGGTTTCTGCTCGTGCGATTTCGCGCGAAAAGAAGTGGTCAAAAAGTTTCGTCAGAATACGAAAAAAAAAAAAAAAACG